CGTATGTTGATGCAGGTATCCGATGAAGCCGGAGTTATAGGGGTGGTAAGCCAAACAATATGGATGCTGGGAACCAAACTGGAGTCCTCTGAAAGAATAGTGGTCGCTTTCAGCAACTGAGCCTTCTCTCCATCCTCACTTAAACATTTTTGAGATGGGATATCTCTATGCAGACCAGACTGGCCCCAAACTCCTGGTTCTCCTGCCTTAGCCTCCCAAATGCTAGACTTGCAGGTGTGCACCACTGTATCCAACTAAGCTTTCTTTTCTAATTGAAACTCACAATCACGTTGAGCTACTCTGCCTGTGCTGCTGCTCCAGGCATGTGTATATATGTACATATATGTGTACGTGCATGTATGCAATGTGTATGTGTCTATGTGTGTCTTCACATGTGTGTATGTTCAGGTGTGTGGGTGTGCACATGTATATATGTGCGTGGGTATGTGTGACACGTGTCTGGATATGTGTGTGTCCACAGTGAGAGAGCAAGCACAGGTGTGTACTTCTGGAGGCTGGAGCCTGATATTAGGTGTCTCTCCCACTCTCCCTACTTTTCTTTTGAGACAGGGCCTCCTGCTGGCCCTGGAGCTCAGCCATCAGCTAGGCTGGCCTGCATAAGCTAAATGTCCCAAGCCAAGTCCTTGGAACAATGATTTCCAGCCACAAGTCCACTGGTCAGTAACTCAGGGCACCCTGTGTGCTGTGAGAGCGTATGTGTGCTCTGCCTCAGAGCAGCTGTGTCTGTCACCTGTGTGCTTTGGCCGGCTAGTGTGCTTCCAGGGAGCATATGGATGCTAACCTGATGTGTGCGAGTGTTCACAACTAACGTTTCATCGAGGTCCCTGCAGGACTTTCCTTGGCAAGTACAAGATGGTCAGAGTCCTTGTCCTGGTGGGGCAGGAGCTGAAGACAAGGGACAGACAATTGCCAGTCATCTGGGAACTGCTCTAATCAGTTTGTCTTCGATGGTATGCACACACAAAGTGCTGGGGGGGTGGGTGGGGGGAGAAGCTAGCTATGGTGGTTCACACTGCTAACCCTAAATGCCAAGGAGGCTGAGGCAGGAGGATTAAAAGTTTGGAGCCAGCCTGGGCTACACAGGGAGAGCCTTATCTAAAATAAAGAAATAAAGCTAGACATGGTGGTACACACCTGTAATCATGACATTTGGGAGGTGGAGGCACTTCATTCCTCTGCCTCAGTTTCCCCATGAGGAAAGCAGGGAGGGTTCTAGTCCCTCCTCCATGTGGCTGTTCCTGGGACCAGGGGAGAGCACCGTCTCCCCGTCTGTTAGAACTGTGTAGTCCCAGTTCGAAGTGGCAAAAACAAAACAAGACATACATGGGGAATGCTTGGGATGTGCAAAATCAGCATGTGTGTGTGTGTGCGCGCGCACGCGCCCATGCGTGGGTGTGGGTGGGTGTGGGTGGGTGTGTGGGTGCTCTCACTGAACACAGTTAGCTGCAACAGCCGTCTCTTGAAGAGCTGTGCTGGGCCACAGAACCCACTGGGCACAAGGCCTGCTGCATAGTGGAATCTCCCTCCATAGGCATACCCCCACCCCCACCCCCATCGTTGCCCCTGTCCAAGGCTGCAAACCTCCTTCTTATATTCTGTACCTGAGCAAGTTGCAGGCCTCTGGAACTCTTAGGTAAGTCACTCCAGCCTGAGCAAAATTCCATGTGTACATTGGGACCCGGAGCAGGGCCAGGCAGCCTCCCTGCTGGGGGCTGGCCAGAGAGACCCGTCTGGGATGGATTGCCGGCGCCTCTCACTCCCTGCCTCAGCCCACAGCCCATGTCCAAGCAGCCAGGCTGGTGCCTTATTTGGGTCTTGTCTCCCCCATGGATGACACTTCATGGCCTTAAAAGGCAGACACAGGGGGCTGGGGAGGGCAGTTACCACTGTTGGCTGGAGAGCCCCTCCAGCTGCGCCATCCACCCTCGGCTTGGCTAGCCAGTCCCTCCAGCTGTATGGAAAACCAGGTCCATGAAACCAGACCAGGCAGGCTGGGTGCAGAGCGGATAGGCTCCTGGAACAGGCAGCCAGCCTCCCTCTGGCTTTCATTTAAAAATGTAAAGTCACTTTGGCCTTTTCTTAGCAAGTGGGGTGTGAAGAGCAAGCATGGCACCCAGCACAGTGTCATTACTGGGTATCTGCTGTGTACCTGAGCCCTGTGTGTGCACAGTAAACCCTTTGCACACATTACCCTCTCCTGGCCTTGCCAAAGATGAACAGAGAGAGAGGCCTTGCTGTGCTGTTTTACCGGTGGGATGATAGGCAGGTCCGGAGAAGACAGATCACACAGATCAGTAAGTAGAGAAGCTGGGAGCCGTGCTTGTCAGTTAACTCTAAACTCTTAGCTCTGTCACCACCTGGGGTCATTGGGGAAAACTTCAGCCTTCTGTGTGGGCCTCACAGATGGCCACCCCAACAAGCAAGCAGCCTTTTCCCTGCCTCCTGTTGCCGTGTGACCTCCTAGCGCCTCTCTCTGTATTAAGAGGAGCAGAAGTCCATGCTGGGCTAACAGCAGCACAAGAGCTGCCCATGGAGGCAAGGCTAGCTCAGGTCAGCAGAATCTTAGCCCACTGTCCCTCCATTGCAGGCTCCCCTGGCTTCCTGGAGCCCACGTGGTCAGGCAACAGCATGCGGCGGATGGGAGTGAGGCCTACAGCCTTCTCAGGTGCGTCCTGTGGCAGACCCTTGGGAGCCTCTGGGCTGGAGGAGATCTGGGGTAGACCCAGGGCAGTGTGGCAGTTGTCCCTGGAAGCCAGCTGGGTCCAGCAGTAGAGGGTCAAGGTAATGCTACTGTACCTCATCCCCTGGACAAACAGCCTAGAGGCAGAGGAGGAAGTACCTAGAAGAGAGTCTGAATTGGGCCAGCCACCCCAAGACAACTGGATTTTGGTAGTTACAGATCCAACTTCCCAATCTCCTCTCTGTGCTAACTCTCTGCCTTTCTGGCGTGCCTGAGACCCGAGCTGGATGCTTTCAAATCTCACAGCTGCCCATAACTCCCAGAAGACCTTGTTGAGCCTATTCAACAGCAGGAAACCAAGGGGTCAAGTGGAGCCTGTCCCTGCCCAAGGTGCTGTAGCCAGGACTGGGCAGCACCAAGCCTGGGTCATCTGAGCTGAGTGGGTTAATATGTTGGGCCCTCACCTGTACCTTGTCACAAACTCAGATGCCTCCCGTGTGGCATTTGTGTAACACATGGCTACAGTGAGGGCCAGAGCAGGCAGTTTGTACTGGTCCCATAAATGGCAGTGAAGCTGGAGCAGTGCCTCCCTGACACAGTGACCTGCGAGGCCTGTAGCATTCAAACTATGGTCTATTGGTCCCCAGAGATGGTAGGTTCAGGCCCAAACCCTACTCAGTAGGAAACAACAGGACTTCCTGCCTGTAGCTTCTGGGATTGGGATCATTTGGATGGTGAGACTGATAGGACCAAGGCCCCAGAGTCTGTGCTGGGAGAAGGAAACCCCAGGTGCACTGTCCATCTGGGGCTACAGACTGCACCTCGGCCCCACACTGTTCCCCATGGCTTAGGGGTTTCAGGTAGCTGCCTGTCCCCAGGGCTGAGGACTATCAGGGGACCTAGGATCCCTGTCCTTAGCCCAGCCTCCCCCTGCCCACAGGTTGTCTCAACTGCAGCAAAGTATCTGAGCTGGCAGAGAGGCTGAAGGCGCTGGAGGCCAAGGTGGGTGAGCAGCCCCCTACCCCTTGCCCTGAGCTTCCCCCACTCCTTCCTGTAACCCCCTCCATGCACATCCTCTGAACTTCCAGCTGCAGGACAACTCATGGGTTGGACAGACTGCTTTCCACCAGCATGGTGGGGTCCTCTCTTGGTGTCGATCCAGGTCCCTGTCCTCTGCTCCTCAGGTGTCTTCTCCATGAAACTGAGGCACAGTCCTACAGCCTGGTACACCACCCCCAGTACACCATCCCTCCACCCCCGAGAACAACATCCCCCCACTACACCATCCCCCAGTACACCATCCCCCAGTACACCATCCCCCAGTACACCATCCCCCAGTACACCATCCCCCCAGTACACCATCCCCCCAGTACACCATCC